CAAAGGATGTAACGTTAGAAAAAAGCTATTGCTGTCTGAGGTTAATAAGAAAACGTGACTTTTGCAAAAGATCATGGCAGTTGGACAGCTGAGTATTGGGCCAAATTTGTCTTGTCTCAAGAAAGCAAATTTTGAAGTAAGTTGCTTTATTATTTGATATTAATATATTGAGCATAATTAATTGCATTATGCTTATTAATACTGTAATTTTATTGAATAAAAAATTATCCCTAACTTTTATTTTATTTTTATCAGAATTTTGAACCCCTGAAGTTCTTTTATATTCGTCGAAGATTTGGGGAAACAGGTGATACTCAGCTCCAAAATTTTGAGGTGGGGTCATTATGGTTTAGGGCGGAATGTCGTCTTCGGGGACAAGAATTTTATTTATATGTGAGGGTAGAATGAATTCTAACACTTGCACAAACATGTTAGTCCAATGCTGCCTACCTTCATTAGAGAAAATTTTCAACAATAACATATTAGATGGGTAATCTTCCAATAAGACAATGCATCATGACAAATATCCAGAGTTTCGAATGGTTGGTTTGAAAAGAATGAAGTTAGGCAAATGAAGTGGCCTTCTTAATCCTCTGACCTAAATTCCACTAAACATCTGTGTTCATGCTTATTTACCAGATCGAGGGTGCACAAATATATTTCAAAACGTGAATTAGAAGCCAACTTCAAGAAGAATGTCAGAAAGTAGAGCCAAATACATATGCTAAGCTGTTCTCCTTGTATGCAAAAGGGTATAAAGTCAGTTATAAAAGAAAAAAGTGTCCAAACCAATTATTAAATACAGAGTGTCCCAAATTAATGTATACACTCTTTAAATATTAATAGTTAATAATTCATTACCGTGGTTTGAGTATTTATACGGAGACAAATATGAAAAATAGATGGATTGGAAGAAAAAGGACAGTTGATTATCACCAGATTGGATTTCTTTTTTGGGGGTTTCTAAAAGACAAAGTTTATAGCAGGAAGCCTGATACAATTGCTGAAATGAGAGTATCAACTGAAGAAGAATGTGCTCAAATACCAGAGGAAATGATACTGGACGTTTGTAAGTCTATTTCGTCAAGATATGAAAAGTGTATTTAACAGAACGGCAACAAGTTTGAGCAATAGATGTGAACTTATCATTATATGAACATTCTGCTATTACCCCAAGTAGATTTTATCTTATTAAAGGTAATTTTCGATGTTTTTTGTATATTTTACTCTCAAACTCTTTAAATGTGTATTCCTTCTCTTGTATTAATCTTATTTCCAAGTCAAAATACCAAACATTTATAACGATTCAATGAGTGTATTCATTATTTTTCGACACTCTGTATAGGTGAAATTTACTTTAAAAGTTTAGTTCTTTTTCTTCAAGAGATAAAACTAATGACTTTCAATTATAATTTTGTCTTTGACAGTATATATATATATATATATATATATATATATATATATATATATATAACTGCTTGGTATTATAGATAAATTATCGTCTAAATGAGGCAAAAAATGAAAATAACATTGACATCATATTTTATCAAAATTACACAAACATATCTTAAAATTGTTAAAAGTAAATTTGTTCAAGAAAATCGCCATTGGTTTCATCAGCGTCTACTAGACGACTTCGAGATCACCTGCAACTCTTCTGAACTGTCTCCTTTGTTTAAGTTGGTTAATGCTGCTATAATCCGCACCATCAATTCATCTTCGGTGTTACATTGAATTATCTTTGTCTGTTGATCGACTGCACCCAACATTTAGTAGTCAAGAGGATTGCAGTCAGGAGATTTAGGACACCAGATGTAAGATTTGATGTCGTTGCAGTAAATGTCTGACAGCCATGACTGTGTTCTCCTGCTTTTGTACAGCGCCTTGATGGCAGATATAGGGACTTCTAGCAGCCACCCTTTTGACACAGGACAATACTACCTCCTCAAGGCACATGATATAGGTATGCGTGTTGAATTTGAGACCCTCACTATCAAATCCAAGACTCCGAAATACCGTATCACCATTAGATTCATCCAACTCTTTCAGAATCCTTCGCTCTCTCCTCAAAGTTGCACAAACATTCAAAAATGCTAGACAGTACAGCATGCCATTTCCAGATTTCTGTCGGAGTGAATATCGTCATGGTGCTCTTTTTCTCACAGGCTGATCCTGAGTCCGCCATTTTAGTGAGAAACTGTCGTTAGATCCGAGGCATCTTAACCGGCTCGGCCATAAGAAACTTTGGCGGTCAAGCAAATTCTAAACATTGTTTTTAAGTTAAATCCTTCTCGTCATAGTTTTCTCGAATTTTTATTATTTGCTCAGTCCCATATCCAAACGGAAACAATGCATAATCATAACTAATATATTAATCCGGCCGATTTTTATCAATTTAAACGTTACTTTTAGTCGATACTCACATTGAAGTAGACAATGCGTTTATTTATTTAGTATCGTCTTTATTTATTTTCGTATTCAGGCCTGAATATTCGAAAAATCATATTTAAAAAAATGTTCTCTTTCCAGCAAGATATGAAATTGCGTCCAACTTGTCTAAAGGAGATCATCGGTAGATCCATGAAAATGTTTTGCTAATCAAGAACGGTCTGAAGATTTATTCCGTAACATACAGAATCATTGGAAATGGACTTCCAAGCGTAGATTAGATATTTCGAAAAGCTGTAAGTATGGAATACCTCGTGAGGATCGAACTCACTACTCAAACGTAAACTGTTCAACGCAAGACAAGCTTGCTATTACATCTCTCCGAGGTACATCATTCAAGAAAGTTCTGAACAGTGCCATCAAGTGAAATGCTTCTCGTCATAGATTCCTCGAAATTTTTATGAATAAATATACATTTTATAAATAAAAGGAGCGTCTACATAAATATGAGTACCTAATAAAAATAATATTTCTAGTACAAATTCCGGTAATAACTAATTCTTCATTCCATGTCTCTGATAGTAATCCAATTTAGAATTTAAAAAAAAAAAGAATTTATGTATTCAGATAAAAAGTTTAAAAATTAGATGAAAGGGAAGGATTTAAAATATTTAATAAAATGTTTAAAAAAAAAAGATTTCCACAGTTAGCAATATTTTTTAACTGCCCTATCTTTTCACAAGAAGATATGTTAATTCATTTAAAACTGCCAGATTGACGCTAGTGGAAACTTATCTGGGATGGCGTTTTGGAAGTTGTTTGAAGCGATGTAAAGAGATTTTGTATTTGTTAGTGCGAAGACGACCAATTGTAATGCTGATGCTTTGCGTCTCTTTTCACTGGAACTGAACATTGTCTTATCAGGAATTTATAATTATAGCTTTTTGTCATTTTTAGCATGCATTATGCTATAGAAATTGTATTGTAATTTCTTATCTCCGGAATAAGGGAAAACTTTCTGCAACAATTAAGACGCATAATTCGACGACAGAATGATTTTTAATATCTATTTTCTGTCTGTGAGAACTTCAAGTAGATGGGAACAAGTACTGAAAGCGTATAACCATGAAGAGATATCAGATTCACGTGTTCATAGATATTTTATTTTAATGGCGTAGTTAAATATTCATTTCTGATGGAGCTAATCACTGCATTGGATGCAGACTATGGAAAAAATTATATACTTCATCCCAAAATTATATATCTTACCTTACGCACGCAATTAAAAATATATATATGTATTGTCGTCCACAGACAGACTGTTTCGGTGCATCACAGCTCATCAGTGTGGCTAGACGTTCGGTTGCCTCTAGCTGGGATCGAAACCCGACTACATTGGCGTCAGTTGAGAATTCTGCCCCTAAGCCGTTGGCGCACGGCATGGAGGAAGTTGAATTTAAGCGTGTTTATTTTTAGATAAACAAACAGTGACTGAGAGAACTTGATTCGATTTACCAAAGTGTCTTGCGTTATTGGCCGTAATATTCACTGTTTACAAACCCACACTTCCTCCCCAGAGAGCTCAATCGAAATAATTTTTTTTCAGAAGCATATATATTGTCATCCACAGATTGACTGTTTCTTGTATCACAGCTCATCACTGTGGTTAGACATCCGCTTGCCTCTAGCTATGATCGAAACCCGACTGAATTGGCCTCAGTTGCGGATTCTACCAATAAGCCGTTGGGTCCTAGTGAGCCAGAAGCAACCAACCAAGGATTAATCTAACGGATTTTCAGGGCGAAATGGCTGAAGAAGATACGATAAAGCGACATATTTATTGAAAAAAAAAGCACTAAAAACTAAAAAAATCCAAGCGGCATTAAAAATAAAGCAGATTTTATTTAAAGAAAAATCAATGAAATTAGCTAGTTAAAACGATTTAGATGTTTTTAAGTTATATGTAATGGAACAAGTGCAAATCACTTATTCATCTTCAGCACACCCGCCCTGAACATCCGTTGTTAGGTAGTTTCTAGTTCTCTAAGATATTTTATACTCTGCTCTACTTAGTGTATAGAGCACTTTACGTTTTTTTTAATTATTTTATTCCATTGGCTTTTTTTTTCTTTACGCTAGGCATGGTGCCATTGGGAGATTTTTTTCTACAAATTCGGATGTTTTTAGTCTTTTCTTTTTTCTTTTCAATTTTTCCCCAGATACCATTTTGCTTAAATATATATCTTATTGACAAATTATACAATCCAGTTTTCTTTTTTTATCAGTCAGTATATATATATATATATATATATATATATATATATATATATATATATATATATATATATATAAATCACCCCCAGTGCAACGTATATTGTAACGAAGTATCTTCATTCGCCTTCATATTTCACGAAGTACTACTTTGCGAAACCAATTTAAATGAGGGTGTTTCTACGGTCACTAGAATTAAACTTTTCAATTTTAGGGTTAGGAGCTATATTAAACATATATCTTCATAATATGTACCTCTTTATACCTAACTATTTATAACTCGTGGTTTGGTTTCTTTGTTTTGTTTTATGGCATATCAACTTCAATGGCTTTATTAATCC